AAATCAATTTAAAAATAGAAAACTTATTTTATACAAGATCGAATTAGGATTTAGGACGTCATTTAAGATTTTCTTTATAAATTTTTGACTTTTAACATTCAACTAATTCTTTTTATATCGTGTCGTTAGTATTTTTTTATAAACAATTTATTTTCTTCCCTATTTTTTGGATTTGTTATATACGTATGTAATTATTTATTATATACGTATGTAATTTTTATTAACAAATTTTTTTTCTTTCCTATTTTTTGGATTTATTGTATACGTATGTATTTATTTATTATATACGTATATAATTGAGTGAGTCTATTCGCACCCACGTGTGAATTATAGTCTCTATTCTTTTTATAGTCTATTCGTACGTTTGAAAAAAAAAATTTCAATAAGATTTTTAATATGAAATCTCTCACAAATAAAAATGTTCATAACTTAAGTGATATATTTAGAAAGCAATTTAATTTTTTTAATCAGTTATAATAAAAATAAATAAAATTACTTAAACATAGTTAATTTTTTATTCAAAAAACAAATAAAAAACTTCTTTTACGAAATACTTTATTTTTTTTAAATAAAAGATTGCCTGCCCAAGCCTAAACCCTCGTCTTTGTATTTATACTATACTGTGCCTTTCCCTAGATAAGCAATCAATATGTATATACACTACGGTGCCCATATTGCACTGTAGTGTATATACATCTTGGAAGCAGAAGAGCATTATCTAGAAAGTTCACGCCTCCTTACACATACCAATGTCAGCTATTGCGTTAGGGTTAGCGTTGAACGTCGGACCTCTTGGTTCTGAGCCAGAACGCTTACAAGTGCGCCACAGATGCTTTTAGACAATGCAATTAAAAAAGTGTTTATGTAAACTAATTTCAAATAATTTTAAAAAACGTTACTGGTTTATAATACTTTTATTAAAAATCAAAGAAAGATAAAGTTCTTAAGATTACGGTCTTTATGTTTTTTTTTGGTGCGAATAGCGTTTGAGCAAGTGAAACTTAAAAAATAATTTGGGATGAAAAACAAACTGAAAAATTTGAAGCGGACTTTTTTATTTATGCTAAATATATTAAGAGGATCTTTCCTTTCATTTTATTTATTATATTTTAGAAGTTTATAATTAAAGTTTAAAATTATATTTTCTTAAAACATTATTCACTATTCCACCGAAAACATATAACCGATAAATAACTTAAACATTAAATAAAACAGTTAATAATTGTTTGAATTAAATAAAAAATATAAGCTTTCTCTGGTTTTCAGTCGATAACTTGATCGTTGGTCATTATTTGATAATGTTTATTTTATCATTTGTTCCAAAACTTTGTCCGAGTAATTAAGCCGTTTATTTTGAAAGTGACATAAGTCACTTTGTTTTTAAACAGAGATTTTTAAAGGTTTGGGTTTTAACATTATACCGTTACACCGTTAACACCGTTATACCGTTAACTAGCAAAGTTTCTTTCCAAAATATTTCAATAATTTTGAACACAACTGGTTTAAATTATTTCGCAAATGAATAGAAACCGTAAAAATGTAAACTCTGTTATCAATCAGGGGCGGATCCAGCATTTTTTGGTGTTTGAGATAGCTAACTTCCAGACATGGAGCAAACTCCAAACGTTTATAAGTTTATACTTATATCAAATAAGGATGGTTTGCAAAAAATTGCGATGATTGGAGCCTGGGAACAAAAAACCCCAAAAATTTGAGACGTACCTGCCCCAAACGTGAGAGCAACAAGTTGATAAAATATTATTTGTACTATTCTCAACAAGACTTATATTTATCCATAAATTTAAAATTTCATTGTAAAATATTTCAGCGTTCAAAAATTATGACCATGTAAAGTTTGAATCCCCCTCAATTCGAGGGGGTTACAATTTTTATATGGTCATAATTTTTGAGCGCTAAAATATTTTACGATGAAATTTAAAACTTATTGATAAATATAAGTCTTGTTGAGAATAGTACAAAAAATATTTTATCAACTTGTTGCTCTCACGTTTGGGGCAGGTACGTCTCAAATTTTGGGGCTTTTTTTGTTCCCAGGCTCCAATAATTGCAATTTTTTGCAAACCATCCTTATTTGACATAAGTATAAACATAAATTTTTGGAGTTAGCTACATGGTTGGAAGTTAGCTATCTCAAACACCAAAAAATGCTGGATCAACCCCTGATCAATAACTTGATTTTTTTGAATAGGGGGCTTATGCCACTTTCAAAATGAACTTTAGAGAGTTATAGCTTGAAAAATTAAATTTCTTGCTTAAGAAACTGTTTTACTTAAAAATAAAAGTTTAAGATTGAGAAAACAAATATTTACTCAGCTTAAAATATATATATATATATATTATAATTATAATATTTATAATTGTAATAAACAATAGTAAATAATTGTAAATTTTATAATTTTGATATAAAAACATTTAATTAACAATTCAATAACCTTTTAAAATAAATATCTCAAAATTTGAATTGAAAAAACATTCTATATAGATTAAAGCATTCTTAAAAGTACGTTAGTAACATTTTTTATTATCAAAGAAAATGTAATCCACAACACGTGTAATCCAAGTCGACGTATGCATGAAGTATTTTTTTCTATTTTGTGTTCTTGATAACTTTTTAACCTTTTTTTTTTTCAGCGTGAACTAAGTTCAAGTGTCAAGCTTAACTTTTGTTATTTTTTTACATTTTGGTGGGTGGGATAGGGGTGGAATAAAAACTTACATAGTTATAACTTTCAAACACCAAGAATTTATGAAATTCAAAACGTTTTAATGTGTATAAACTTAGTTTTGAATAAATAATATTTATTTTAATCAATTTGTCGCTATTATTTGTATTAAAGGACGCAATTGTTGGGTATTTTTTATTCCCAGGCTCCAATTGCTGCAATATTTTGCAAAGCGTCTTTAGCGAAGATAAGAAACAAATGTTTGGAGTTAGCTTCATGTCTGCAATTATTTCAACACATTAAAAAACACCAAAAAATGATGTCAAAGCATGAGCAACCGCAACAAGCAATACTATAATGGTAGAACTACACGACTAAATAGAATTACTTTAAAATTTTATTTCAAATTAAAACACTCGCGCTTTCCCTATTTATACGAAGAAACCTTATAAATTGAAAAAAAAATGTTTTTCTTCATTTTATTAATTATTTGTGTATGTATTCCTATTCTTATTTTTTAAAGATTTTTCCGTACAACTTTACTCTTCATTTACACAAAAACAAAACAACAACAATTTTAATACATTTTAATACAATATGTAATATAAACAAAAAAAATAATAATAATTATGATCGAATTAGCTGAAGGCAATTTAATTTATACTATTTGTTATTACTATTACCAGAGGCGGATCCAGCATTTTTTGGTCTTTGAGATTGCTAACTTCCAGACATGGAGCAAACTTCAAACTTTTATATGTTTATACTTATGTTAAATAAGGATGCTTTGCAAAAAATTGCGATGATTGGAGGTTGGGAACAAAAAAGCCCCAGAATTTGTGCCCCCCTGCCCCAAACGTGAGAGCAACAAGTTGATGAAACAATTTTTATACTATTTTTAACTAGACTTATATTCATCGATAAATTTTAAATTTCATAGTAAAATAATTTAGCGTTCAAAAATTATGACCATATAAAGTTTAAATCCCCCTCAATTTGAGGGGGTTGCAAATTTTATATGGTCATAATTTTTGAACGCTAAATTATTTTACTATGAAACTTAAAATTTATTGATGAACATAAGTTTAGTTAAAAATAGTTTAAAAATTATTTCATCAACTTGTTGCTCTCACGTTTGGGGCAGGGGGGCACAAATTCTGGGGCTTTTTTGTTCCCAATCTCCAATCATCGCAATTTTTTGCAAAGCATCCTTATTTAACATAAGTATAAACATATAAAAGTTTGAAGTTTGCTCCATGTCTGAAAGTTAGCAATCTCAAAGACCAAAAAATGCTGGATCCGCCCCTGATTACCATCAACAATGGCCCAATTCTGTGCGATGGCGTTATCAAAGTTAGACATTGGCCAGAACCAACTGAATCAAAACATCAGTGGCATGTCGCTAAATGTCAGTGAATGATAAAATTATTTTTTGATTGAATAATGATTGCATAAATTGTGGCTAACCCACAAATAATGAACGGTAACGGATCAGTATCATTTAAACAACATTTATACCGGTATATTTTTGATCCTGTATAAATGGGGGGCATTTTGCTGATTTGTCTATGCTTATGTAACTAGACTAAAAATCGGAATATCGATGACATAAAAAAAAAAGTTCTTTAAAAACATTGAGCACTCTGTAGAATACACTAACTTGAATGAACAATAAAAATCTAATATCGGTTATCAACATGGTCCGAGGTTGGCTTTAATACACAGGATAATCAAAAATCAATCTCAAAATAATTATCAAGTTTAAACAAGTAAATTTATGCAGCAATTTTTGAGTAAAAAAATATATGTATATATTTCAGGTAAAATTTTTATTATTCTGGCATAATAAAACTATTCTTACTTGAATATTGCTTATCCTAAAAATGTTATACTTTTGTAAAACGTTTGTCGTTTGCAGCCAAATTAATATCGTATTAAAAAGCATTTATCAATTATTATCGTTTTTTTCAAGTTCAGCTTTTGTCATTTTTTCATTATATAAAAAGAATCTATTTTAAGAAATCTAAATAATTGTCACAAAAGATAATAATAATAAAAAAATTATGTTGAAAGTCATATTATAAAGAATATAATACTAAAAAAAAAGTTATGAAACTTATATGCATATTTTTTTACGCGTGACATATTTTTGATTCTAATTCCTTGATTAAACTTGAATTTATTCCTTATACTTTGTAAGTCATTATTATTTTCGTTGTCTTATACTTTATTACTTGTTCTAAAATAGTTATAAAAGACTTCAATAACCATAGAATATCATTTACAAATACTTTGAGCAAAACTTTGTATACTTACATAAGACTTTTCCCCCAATAAAAACAGCTTTCTTTTTTTTTTTTAACTTTTTCAAATGAAAATTACAATAGCAAATTTGACAGATAACTGCGTGCATTGATAACTGCGTGGGTTTTTAATAGCGTCTCATTATTGCAAGTTAATTTGAAAATAAAGTTGCTTCGACTTTAAATTACTACAACAACTTTACTTTAAAACGGTGTAATTTACTGATGACTATGTAGCAGCGTTTAAGTAGTATTTGAATATATGTACTAATAAAAACATATCTTTCAACTGTCTATATAAATTTCTAAGATACTTTTGTTTCAAATAAGGCATTTTTCTATCTATAGACTTTTTCTCGCGATTATTGCATTTACCCTACCCACTGTTAATCTTTCCTTTAAATGATATCCTTTTGATTGCAATTTTATTATATATTATATATTTTCATTGTATAGAGATTTTGAATAAGATTAGGTAAATAACATAAAAGAGTGCTGAGTTTAAATTGTTTTAAATACCTAACATTTTTTGATGCTGGATGTTGCGGGGGAAATTAAAAAGCTGATTTACGAAAATTTAAAAAATGTTATAGTGAAAATTTATAAAATATATCGCATTGTTTGGAAAAGAACGACATTAATGTAAAAACAACAACGACAACGACATCAATGTAAAAACAACAACGACATCGACATCAATGTAAACCAACAACGACAACGACATCAATGTAAAAAATACATTTAGTTTAAAAAGTAAGTTGTTAAGAAAAAAATGTGTCAATTGAACTTTTTAACGTGTGTAAAAGCAATATTAATACTTAATTTATCATCTAAAAACATCAAACAAGCAAACAAGCAACAGCAACAACAACAAAACAAATAAGGGATATATATATATATATATATATATATATATATATATATATATATATATATATATATATATATATATATATATATATATATATATATATATATATATTTATATATATGCATGCATGTATGTACGTATGTATAAGCAAAAACATTTTTCTTTAAACTTTTGAACTTTTTTTTTAATGATAAAATTAAAAAACTTCTTGTTCCAAGATTAAAGCAGAATTATTACAGAATTCTATACAGGTCTAACGATTAAGGTCTAACGATTAAGGTCTAACGATTACGGTCTAACGATTAAGGTCTAACGATTAAGATCTAACGATTAAGGTCTAACGATTAAGGTCTAACGATTAAGGTCTAACGATTAAGGTCTAACGATTAAGGTTAGACGATTAAAGTCTAACGATTAAGGTCTAACGATTAATGATTAGGTCTTGCGTAAAATAAGATTAACTGGAAGACTTTCTGAATTGTGCACCATTTTTTTCAAGGAGATAAAACTGCAGAAATGTGGCGCCATTGTAAAAAAAAAGACAACTTTTGTTTTATATTTTTAGTTAAAAAGCCTGAGCACTTCTTAAAGCTTAAGCACTTCTTAGGCATCAATTAATTCCGTTTACGTGGGAGTCTTATTTTGTTCATACGCTTTTTTGGAGTTCAACAACAAATTGTAGTCTATTGTTGTAAAAAATATAACCAATTTTTTGTGGTGGAATTTGTACCACGATGCCCTCCCCCATAGCTAAATGCATGATACCTTTAACTGCAAAACATCACACTTTCATTTAATAAACTAGGTTTCATGAAGCTTTTATTAGACTAAAATAAAAAAATAGGTTTGGTTTTTAAATAGCAATTTATGTATAGTTCATACACTTGATCCAAAACAATATATATATATATATATATATATAACCTGCAAAAAATAAATAAATATTACCTGAAGCAATTCAGTAAAACCAAAGGAGGATGTAATCATTGTTACACTTGTATTGTTTAATGTGCATAATGTATAATGTGATTTTACTAGTATAATCAAGTGTTTGTAAAACATATGAGACAGAAGTACGCGTTATTTGCTCATGTTCTAATCAATTCAATTGTTGAAATAGTGATCCATTACTTAAGTTCATTTTGAATTATCATTACAAAATATATAGTTTTATTGAGTCATGATCAAGTAGCGGTAAATAAGAAATTTGTTTGCACTAAATATGCGCATAACTATAATATGCACTAAAGTTATTTTACTAACTTCCGAGTTTTCTGAAATTTATTTGTAATAACTTTAATTAATCCATAATTTTATATCTTTAATGTAAAATTTTTTAAATTTGTTTACTCTTATTAAATATCGACGCTTAGATACGAGAAAATTCGTGCGGAACAACAAAATCTTATTAAATCAGAAACTTATGGGAAAAAAAAGTTTTGTTTTTTAAAAAATGTTGTTAATCTTATCGCAATTATTAAACTTTCGTAGTAACTTATAAATAGGGAAGTTAGTGTATCTGGGGCCTCCTTGTAACTAGGACTACCCCATTTTATTTGAAAAATATAAAGTTCTAAGTATTGCTTCTCAGTGAGGTGATTAGTTATAAATTTTTTTATTTTTTAATCTTGTTTTGATTTTGAGAGAGCGTTGCTATGGCAAGTTATAATCAGAAAACGCTTTTTGATGGTCTAATGTAAATTTTTGCGGCTGGTATCATAGATTGTTTTACAATCCTAGAGGAAATATGTGCGTTTCTCTGATAAAGAATTTATTTGATAACGAGGTAAATTGTTGAATTTTTATTGGTGCAAAAATTATTTTTTCTCACGGTTGTTTTGGAATTACAGTTTTACGCGTAAACTCGCGTCAATTTTGCTCAGAACACTTTGTCAATTTTTATTGAATCAGAAAAATTTTTAATAGTAGATTTTAATAGTAGAACCTAATGTTCTGTTTTCGTCTTGCTTAAAGATCCTCAATTGCTTTCAGGTCCAGACATGCATCTGCTAGCATATTTTTTGTTAAGACTTAAGTTTTTTTGTCTTGGTTTCATTAAATCTATTTTGCTTTGATGTTTCTCAATCTGTTTTTAGAATACGCTATCATAGACTCCTAAATTCTTAAGAGATAGACCTTAGTAGTGCCGATGGAATAAATTCCATTATAGTTTCGAAAAGAATCAATGACCACTTCACGTCTGTTGAAAACTTATCACTTGCAATCTTAACAAACTTTAAAACTAAAACCAGTTTATCCATCATCACATTTTATCAGCCAGTTTATCAATTATCACTAACTGCTGATTCGTTTGAACCACTTCCTCTAGCAAAGTTATGCTTTTTCTCTAACCGGAATAAAAACTCTTTAGTTTACAATATTGCATATAGAATTATAAAATTAGAGTTGGATTTCATTTATTTAGAACTGGAGTAATAGTTTTGACATATTTAAACTCAATTTCTCACAATCTTGCTTCAAAAGTTGGAAGGCTAAAGAGGATTTATGTACTTTATTAGAAAACTTAAAAAACTTGCAAATTCAAAGAACTCATTGCTGTGGTAATACATTCTTTGATCTTTAAAATTCTCTTAGATGAAAGGTGCAGACTGGCGTTCAGCAGGGGTCAAAGAAAACATTGAAGAAACACCATCAGTATTGATCAACTGGATTGAAGCTTTCATTGGGGGAAGATCAGAAACATTTCATAGTCAAATTTTTTAAGCCTGGCTACTTACTGATCATTGCATCCAAATATTTAAGAATATAAAAAATTAATTAAAATGTAGTTTGTATTTTTTTGGATATTGGCTAAGCAACTTTGAAAATGAAGAAAAATCTATAATTAAGTATGTTCATATATATAAAGAATGAGGATGTTATGCAAAAAGTTGCGATGATTGGAGACTATGAACAACAAAAATCCAAAAACGTTAGCCCCCCAGCCCCAAAGAGAAGGGCAATGAGTCAAATTTGTTATTTTATTTTAATCTTAAACTTAATTAATATTCATCGACATATTTCAAATATGATTTAATAATGTTTGGCAGATCAGCTTTTATGACCTTTTAAAGTTTATGGCTTCCTCAATTTGAGGGGGCTGTAAACTTGTATACGGCCTTGTTTATATTTGTTGGATTTTATCCCAAAAAATTAACTCTTCCACAAATTTTTTAAAATCTAATAAATTTTATTGATCTATGTCAAATTTAATTATAAATACTATTTAATAACTATCTTTGCAACTATGTAAGCCATGTGCCTTTTCTGAATAACATTTATTTTGTATTTGTAACCAATATTTTGTAAATTACTATTCTATTAACATAATACGCAATGACCTCACTGAGATCATTATAAAGTATAATATTAACAGATTTGTGTTGAAAGTACTATAAATAGAATTAGCTTTAACATTTTTTGTCATATTTTGAATAGCGACTTAAAATCTGTTTTATTAATACTACCGTCTGAAGATGAGCCAAACAAAACGAAAAAAGCTGTGGAGCTTAAGTCACACATTTTAAATACTTATTGAAGAAACTGTAAAGTTGGATAGTGCGCTGCTTCAAATCAATAATACCAAAATTAACAGTCATAGAGCAGTGGTTAGAGTTCTGGCTTCAGAACTGAAGGTTTGTGTTTCAAAGCCGGCTCTGGCCATGTATGCATTATTGGTATTGAAAAAATCATAAACTTCCTGGTTAAATGTTATTCCGCAATGCTCTGTGTTAAGAACCAAAAAGACGTTTTGGAGCACCTTAACAACTAATAAAAAAATCTCAGGTTCTAATGCTGACTCCGCCAACTTGGCGTTGACTAGCACTTCAGTGCAAAGGGAACTAGCCTCAATTATCACTGTTATTGCGATGTTTCACAATTAGAAAATTAAACAGTTTTATAAATAATTTTTATATCGTTTTTAAAAATTTGCAACGCACAATTTTATTCTAATTTCATAATTTTTTTAAACAGCCTCCCTAATTTAGTTTCGTTTTTAAACAACATCATGGGTTAAATACATAAATTTGCAAAAATTTCTTTCAAAAAAATCTATGGGACGATTTTGTGGGGGCGATCGGCCACCGCGAAATTCTTATTACCAATCGCCCAAAATAAAATACTTTTTTTTTTTTAAAAAAGTATTTTTTTGGGCAATTGGTAGTTTACAACAATTACATTACAAAAAGTACACAAAAAGAGTATAATGAACTTTTTGTAATAGTGATTAATATTTTACACAAAAAGTTTGATGTGGGTGCGATAATGATTAAAATTTTGAACACAATGCAATTAAATAGTAACAATAGGCATATTGAGAACGTAAGCCAGAATCGTCTATCAAAAAAATTGCTAACACACCGCTTCATTCAAAGCCAAATCATTCATCACATGTCACTTTATATTTTAGGTCTGTAAATTTTCATATGACATTATTTTTATCAGTTTCCTTAATTAAACCTAATTGCATAATAAGGTTTAATCGAGAAAATTAATCAAAAGTATTTTTAGAGTGTAAAATTTTTTTATTACTAACAAAAATGTCTAATTACAAGAATGATAATAATGGGTTTAGGTAAGTGTCCCTTTTTAATTTTAAAAAAATTCAATGTGTATAATTATATAAATTAAAATAAAGTAAAAATTATAAAAAATACAAAAGTATAATAACATTTTGAATTACAACATTGAAACAAAATTTAAATAGCCTTAGTAAATGGTACGAAGATTAACAATATTTTGTTTTGGCTTAAAGAAAATAATTAGCATAAAAGAATTCTTAAATCAATTATAACAGCAGGAATCCTACTTAAAAATGGATTATGGCCCACATAATGTAATATAACAATTTATTTTTGTGTTGAATCTTTAGTTAAAGAAATAGACAAGCACTGAAAGAAGCGCAGCTGTATTGCATAGTGGGTTAAAAAAAAAATAAACAAAATGTCTGAAAAAAAAAATCAAAAAAAAATTTGAAATTTAAAAATTTAGGCAAGCACTGAAAGTAGAGCAAATCTTTTAATTCAAATAAAAAAACAAAAAAAAAAAACACAAAAATTAAAAAAAAAAGCGAAATTAAAATAAGTCAATTTCGATAATTCTTTTACTTCTTTTATTATTTATTTTTGGTTCTTTTTATAATTTTATTATTTTTTATTTATTTTTAATATTCTACATTATTCAGGTTATTCAATAATATAAATTATCTGATTTCAAATTTTTTTGCTTACTGTTTCAAAGGATTAATTTCACCTACGTAACCGTTTTTTACAACTTAATAATTGTACCGTCACGCATACAATATTATATAATCTATTTATATTATAAAATCAAAAATTATTCTAATATATATATAAAAAGAAAAAAATTATAATTATATACATTTACAAACAAAAAAAAATTATTTTAAACAAATGTATAAAAGTATAATTTAAAATGTATTTTTTGAGCTTGATTGAATAAGTGAAGGTCAAAAAACACATATTCCAGTTTTTCCAGCATGTTTTTCAAAAGTATCTCTTCCAATTTAACTTGCGTAATTTATCGATAATTGCGTTAATTTATCGATACAATTTGAACATTAATTTGATCTCTAGTTTGGATTTTAGTTAAATAATAAAACAAATTGTTGCTACGTCATAATTTTATAATTTTTAATTTAGTTCACATGTGCAAAAATTCTAAAAAATGTTTAATTCTATAAAGCTATGATTTTTTAAGTAAATAAATAATAAACAATAATTCACGTGAATAGTAAAAAAAAGAATTTCAAATATAGTGAACGACATTAATGTCGCAACCAAAATATTCGTTTTTGTCATCTTCAATTTCAATTGGATGAGTTGTATCGTTTAAATAATCACCTTGTCTAATCCATTCGTTACCAGATGCTTGCCAACCAATGTTTAACACAGCATGTAACTATAAATATAATCAATATGTATATACAATTGTTTTTATCATTATTTATATTACTATTTTTTTAATAACATGTAATTTTATTATTATTATTATTAACTTCATTTTTTTTATTTTATGTTTTTTGGTATCATATCATATTAATCTGATCACATTTTCAAGTGTGAAAAGTCTTTTTAAGAATTTTTGATATATTGAAGTAAATTTTGAACATGTCTTCAGCGTGTTTTGCTCATCAGTGTTTGACAGTACTGCATTATTTAAGTATTAAATTTAAAGCCTATAATCTAAGGCTCATTATAGTACACAGTGCTACACAGTGTGTAGTATACAGTGTTATACAGTATCACTTGTTTAAAAAGAAAATTGTTTATAATCTACATATAACAATGGGGTCAGTTGAGCCAATTCAAATGGGGCACATTGACCCTATATGAAAATCTATGCTGATCAATTATTTTAATTGTTAAACAGTTTATTTATACTTCTGATAATACTTTATGTTTGAAACGTTTCAAAAATAAATTTTTTAAAAATATAGAGGGATCCTATAAAATATGTTCAAAAATAAAACTTTTAAGGTTCAAAAAACTGATTTTAACTTTAACTATACTTTTTTTAATCTAATAAATAAAAAAAAAAAATAATGCAAAATAAAGAAACTATGTTCACCCCATTTTATACCTATGGGCCGACTTACTCTAATAATAGAGCACATTTGCCCAGCCAATATAACCTAACAAAAACAATTATAAGTGTGTTGAAAACCCATCATTAACTTTTATTATACAACAAAATTCAAAACAAAGTAAAAGTTAAAGGATTCTTCTTCTAAATGTTTTTTCACATTTAACGACATTTACAATAACAAGTTTTGTAACAATAAAAAAAAAAAACATTTTAAACAACCTTTAAGAAGTTTATTCATATATTTCATATATTGATAAACTCCTGTTTAATTAACAAATTTTGCCCTAAAATAAACCCTAATTTTTCCCGATTTAAAAAAAAGGTCACCTCAAAACTAATGTATGGAACAACTATGGACTATCTGCTAAGCTTGAGCCTCTTTCCCATCGTCGTAAAGTTACATCTCTTTCTCTTTTCTACAAATACTATCATGGTCACTGCTCAAAGGAGTTATATATCTCTAGTTCCATCAACTAAAATTCATTCTCGTTTTACTCGTCATTCAGCTAAGTCTCATTCGTTTACTGTATCTGTCCCTGCACGCTCTAAAAACTTTTATTCATCTAGTTTTTTTCCCCGCACTTCAATCCTTTGGAACTCTCTCCCATCTTCATGTTTTTCTGACTCATAAAACCTTCAACTTTTCAAGTCTTCTGTCAATCATTTCCTTGCTCTATAACTCTGTTCTTTTTTTTCCTAGTAACTCCCAACTTAATAGTGGTTGCTTGCAGCCTTGTTGGGAGTGAATGCAAATAAAAATAATAAAAAAAAAACTATATACCTGGATATCTAGTTATAAACATAATATATATGTATTATAAACATAAAGTTGTAAACATGACTGCTTTATTACTTTTGGTAACTTTCTAAAAGTTTTAATGACTTGACAGAATATTCCAGAATTTCTCGTATTTTTAAGGTAAAACTTTCAAAAAAAAATTTTTTTTTATGTATAATTAAGCAAAACTTTTATGTGATGATAAAAAAAGTATCAACAAATAAAGCTGCTAAATTCTTCTAGCAATTGTCACATGATGCTATAAATATTACAACTCAAAGTATAGTGCAGTAATAGTGTAGCGATAGAGCAATTGCTTTATAAACACAAAACTCTGAGTTTAATCCCCACCATGTCCAGTGCTCAAATTGTTTCTTTGCACAATAGTCTTATTATCAAAGCTCAAGTTTTAGAGTTAAAGGGTTTATAAAAAAAATCAGGAAAGTTGCTAAACTTAAAGCTAAAATAATCGAAAAGTTACACATAAAAAAGTCATTACATTTTGATAGCAACCACATTGTAGTTGCTATCAAAAAAATTGTAGTTGCTATCAATTGTAGTTCCTATCAAAAAAACTTCAAGTGGAAAGTGAATATCAGGTGTCAATATTTAAGAATAAAAGAACTAAAGTAAAGTTAAATTTGTTGTGTTTAAATAATGGGATGGCTAAAATTATTTCCGTAAGAATTGCAATTCTTGATGAATAGAACTTGCGGAATTCAATAAGGATTATTATTGATAACAACCAGTGTTAACACTGGGAAAAATAATGAAGTAGTTGCCTAACTGCATAAAATGCGCGAACATTTTATGCAGTTAGGCAATTTCTGATTTGTTGATATCATTCTCTTGATATTCTAGAGAATGATATCAACAAATCAGAATTTATCAGCACCAAATTACCTTTTATCCCTTTCCTAAAAATTTTAAATAATTTGCTGACTATAAATTTGAATGTGCAGGATATAAACCCTGTTATATTAGAAAACTAATTTCTATCTAAAAACATGAATGATCAAAAACTATAGCAGGGATAAAAACTTTGCACATTTACTTTTACTTATCTTTGTAAGTTTTTTGATAACTCAAATGAAAGTTTTTTGATAAACTTAATAATAAAAAGTTTTTCATTTTTAGATTCAAAATTGCATTAAAACTCAAAGAATGTATATAGAGTATGTCAAAGTATGAATATAGAGTGGAAAAATTCAAATATTAATAAACAAGTGAACCATGTAAAAATAACACATTAGATCCTTTAAGCAAAACAAGTTTTTTAACCGTCTTCTTTAGTACTTTTATGACATTTTTTACATTTTTTAATTGCTTTTGAATATCATTTTAAATTAATTTAAAAAAAATCTTTTTACACTGTTTGTTTTTCGAACTTTTATTCATTTTATGTGGAAATAATTATTTCTTAATTTTAGTTTTTTTCTTTTTAAACTACTTTTTTCCTTAAATATAATTTTAATAAAATTTAAATAAACTTACAGTTGCTCTTTTATAAGAAGGCAAACTTGCATTTTTAATTTCATAAGTCAAAGAATCGCCTTTATTATAATTTTGGATAATTGTCTTATATTCTCCAAGAAGAACTGCTGGAGCATCCATCATGTTTGTATCTTGAACTTTTACGGTTAATAAGGAACCATTAGGAATTTCTTCAGGAACTTCTGCAGAAGCAAATACAATTTTTCCACTGACATTCATCATTACAAAGAATTTATTTCAACAATTACTAAATCACAGATTTTTATTACAACCGTGGCACTCGTACAGTTATTGAGTTTACAAATAAACGCAGACGTGGAAAGATTTCGCGCATACGCCTAGTTTCGCGCATAAACATTTTTAAAAACGCATAACGCACACACACACACACACACACACACACACACACACACACACACACACACACACACACACACACACACACACACACAATTGTATAGGAACTTTTAAAACAATACGGATCCATCATTTTTTGGTGTTTGAGAAAGCTAACTTCCAAACATGGAGCAAACTCCAAACATTTGTATATCTATACTTATGTCAAATAATGATACTTTACAAAAAATTGTAATAAGAGGAGGCTGGGAACAAAAAAGCCCTTAAATTTTATCCCCCACCCAAAACGTAAGAGCAACAAGTTGATAAAATATATTTTGTACTTTTTTCAACTATTCATTGAAAAACTTTAAGTTTCATCTCAGCTTTTAAAAATTATCACCATATAAAGTTTAACCCCCCCTCAATTTGAGGGGGTCTCAAAACTTATATGGTCATAATTTTTGAACGCTGAAAAAAATAACTATTAAACATTATTCATAGACTTTCATTTGTGACATCTATGGCAACAACGTTCTAAATATTAAATCCGACATGACTATGTTCTTTAGTGATCGACCGAAATTCGGTTCGGTTCCGGTTCCGGCCAAAACTCTGACAAGATTTTTCGGTTCCTGTTCCGTTTCCGGTATTATTAAAGATTTCGGTTCCGACCGGAATTTCGGTTCAAAAATGTTACTGAAAATGGATATCTTAAAGCTTTAATAAGCATTATCATTTTGATAAAATAGTTTAAAAAAAAAAGTTTTTTAAATTAAATGATAAGCTTGAGAATTAACGGAAATAAAATTTTGCTTTAACTGAAAAATGTTAAACCGTTAAAAAATAAAGAATAAAGATAAAGAACGCTGATACTCAAAGAAGACCATACAGGTCTTGTCACCGAGAACCGCTGTTTAAGAACTTTGAACTTAATTTAGATTTTAGAAAAAACAAAAATAAATAAATACAAATTTTAAACTTTTCTTTAGTTATGGTCTTTATGCCTTGAATTAAAATACTAATTCTTCTGAATCGCATGATAATCTTAAGCGAAAATAATAATATCATAATATTCTTGATAAACAAATACGTCTCGCACCTTACTCGCATCTATACGATCACTGAATCTTGTTACTCAAATGTATCTTACAATTGAACTAATCTTAATTGTTGATTAATTAATCAATAAACGAAAATAATAAGAATATGATTGCACTAGGTACATCCAAATGCACTTCAAGGTTGTCAAAAAGATTGTGTAGAAGAACTTAGAAAGCCAAATGATGGTGTCACTGTGTGTAAAGCCAAAATTATCAAATGTTGGTGCGTTTACGTTTACGCTTCCACTGACAAAAATGCTAAACCACTAAACTAAAGGATGGTTAACTTCCAGAAGTAAAGCATACATAAAATATTTGCATATACATCTATTACATACATCAATTTTTTTTTTTTTTTTTAATTTTTTTTTTCTATAATATATATATATATATATATATATATATATTTATTTATTTATTTTTTTTATTACAAAACTAAATTCAATATTAAAAGTATATACCGTTCGTAAGACAAATTATTTACAAATATTACGAATTAAAATTAAAATTAAAGTAAACAAATAAATAATAATAGACTACTGTACAAATAATGTCAGTGCAACTTTTAACAAAATTCATATAATGGTGTTTAAATATAGTTTCTCACATAAAAGTTAAATCAATATTGTATAAAAGTAAAATACAAATAAGTGATGACAAAACTGGGTATATTTAAAAGTATATAAATATATTTTCAATTGAGAAAATTACTTTTTTTAGTTTTCTTTTGAACATATAATAATTCTATTCATGAGAAAAATCAAAACTTTTTAAAATTATTTGGTTCCATAAAAAAGCTCCACGAAAAGAAATGCAAAATTTACCAAAGATAGTTTTAAATTTTTGGTTGTTTAATAAAATTATCATTTCTTAAAGAATATTTATTTTTTTCTTTTAAAGACTATAAATCAAAAAAGGAAGCTGGAGATGAGTTGGTTTTACATTTAAAAAAAGGAAGCTGGAGACGAGTTGGTTTTACATTTAAACATAAAACAAAGAATATTATAAACATTTACTTGATATATATTAAAAACATTCATGTTAAATAAGAGTGGCCTTGTATGAGTAAAAACGATTTTTGAAATTTATAAGACGTGTAATATGCTATTGCTGACGATAAAGTGACTTTAATTTACTTTTATGGGTACTACCCCATGCAATATTAGCATAATTAATATGACAGTGTATAAAAGAGTAATATAGTTGTGTTAATGAATGTTTGTTTAAAACGCTTCTTGCTTTATATAAAACTCCAATGCTTTTTGCAATTTTGTTGCATAAATTTCAAATGTGATTCTTCCATGATAAATTTTTATTTACAATGATACCTTAAAAATTTGTGAAAATTACTCTTTTTATTTGAATATTATCAATATGAAAAAGAGGCATATTACTTGGAAGTAAATGTTTTTTAAATCGTGGATGAAATAAAATCCATTTAGTTTTATCAATGTTGAGTGAAAGTTTATTTGACTTAAACCAGTCAAATACTTGTGTTAGTTCAATGTTCATATCACAAAAAAGTTTATTGATGTTATTATTAGATAGGAATAGGTTTGTATCATCAGCAAACATAATAGTTGTTAATTTTGAGACTTCATGGAGGTCGTTAACATAAATTAGAAATGATAAAGGCCCTTGTATAGATCCCTGTGGAACTCCACAAGTTATATTTAGATAATCTTGTGAAAAAGATCCGTCGAAATAGACAAATTGTTTGCGATGTTTAAATAGCTTTTTTGTAGTTTTAAAACAATACTGGTGATACCATAATGTTCAAGTTTTTTAAACAGTATTTCATGGTCAATTGTGTCAAAAGCCTTAGATAAGTCTATAAAGACGCCTAAAGTAAACTCTGACTTTTTGAATGAATCAGTTATACTACGAGTAAGATGAATTATTGCATGTTCAGTAGAGTTATTTCTTTTAAAACCGTATTGATTTATGTAAAGTTTATTATTAACAGCAAGATGATTAGATATTTGATTGAACATAATTCTTTCTAAAATTTTTGAAAAAAAAAAGTGGATAGATATTGTTCGATAGTTACTGACATTTGATGGGTCACCTCTTTCAAATATAGGTATTATTTTGGCTATTTTCAATTGGTCGGGGAAAATTCCTTGATTTATAGAACATTTAAAAACTTTAAAAAGAATATGTTTTATGATATCGTATGAATCTATGACTATATTACAACTTATATCATCAGGACCAACTGCTTTATTAGTTTTAAGCATTTTAATGCACTTTCAAATTCTGAAGAAGATACTTCAAATTTATTTAAACTAGAGATTAATGGAAATACGTAATCATTTATTGGGTTAATCATATTTGGAATACTTTTAGCTAAATTTGGGCCAACAGACACGAAATATTTATTTAATTTTCTTTCTATTTGTTTGGGTTCATATAAAAATACGCCTTCAACTTTTATAGTGTTAGACACAGAGCATAATTTTAATTTACTATTTCCATTAATTTAACTTATAGTTTGCCATGTGCATTTTGAATTATGTTTATATTTTTCTAGTAAATCATAGTAATATCTTTTTTTAAATTTTTTCCTTTGACTTTAAACATTTTAGCAAATTTTTTATAAATAATTTTATTTTCTGGTGTTGGTTTAAGTACTTTATTATATACAGTTTTTGCTTTACTTTTAAGGATTTCCTAAGATCTTTATTAACCCATGGTGACTTTAAACTTTTATTGGTTATAATAAATTCATGTTTTGGAAAATTTACATCATGTATTTTATAGAAAGTTTGAAAGAATGTATCGTATACTTTATTAGCTTCAAATCAACTTTTTATATGATTACAATTTATTAAGATAATTGATGCTTAAACGATGCTAGATTTGCATCGGTGAAAAAGTATTTGATAATGACCTTTTTATGTTGTTGTATTAATTTGTTGTCAATATTAATAGAGAAAAAAATAGGGAAGTGGTCGGAAACGTCGCTTTTTTTATACCTTTTTTAAGAGTTTCATTAAAGATATCGGTTGTTGTAATGTTGTCAATTAAGGTAGCTGAAGTTGAGGTTACTCTAGTAGGCTTTTCAATTAGTGGAATAGCTCCATGTTCGAATAAGTTACCGTAAAACTTTTTAATGGTGATATTCAAAACAATTTAAATTTACGTCACCAATTAGATAATTTAGTTTCTTTTTCTTTTAACTATTTTTTAAAATATCGTTACACAAAAATGTATTAAAACTTTCAATATTGTCAGATGGTGGGCAATAACAGCAGCTTATAAGTATGTTTTTAGAACTATTGGTTAAATGTTCAATAGTTAAAATTTCTTTATTGTCATCAGAAATACTTATCTCAGGCTTAATAAAAAACCTCAAATTTTCCGTTATATAAAAAAGTACACCACCTCCGCGTTTATTTGCTTTACGCGCTAGTGGGATCAAATTAATCCTGCAAGGTGGAGATTTAAATTAGATTTAGCGTCATCAAATTCACACTACGTTTCAGTTATTTTCAAGCAAATTATACTAAATGTATTTGCAGTTTCCTTTATTAAAGTACACAAACTTCTGAATAACATTTAAATGATCCCGAGAAAGAAATTCTTTTATTTCTTTGTTATAGAAGTAGGAACATATATATATATATATATATATATATATATATATATATATATATATATATATATATATATATATATATATATATATATATATATATATATATATATATATATATATATATATATATATATATATATATATATATATATATATGTATGTATGTATATGTATATAATGTAAATTTTGAAAGATTAAAACCATTTTTAATTAAAATCATTTTTGTCCTTTTTTTCCATTCACGCTTGCAAACGTGATCACTTTTTTTT